TGAGCCCCCCAGCACACCCAGGCTCCTCCAGCTGCCCCAGACTGCCTTGGACCCTCAAAATCAGCTCCGACCCCTCAACACCTCTTCACATCCTCCCCAAAACGCTTCAACTCCCCCACAGCAGCCCAGATGCCCCCAAAGCCCTGGAAATCAACTCAGAGCTCCCCTGGAAACCAGCACAGATCCCTCCTTGGACAGTACAAACCCCTCAGAATCAGCCCAGATCCCACCCCAAACCAGCTCCAAACCCTCAGCATCAACTCAGACCTCTCAGCACGCATAGTTCAGACTCCATAAAACCAGTCCAGTTCCTCCCAAAACAGTTCAATCTCCTGAACACCAGTCCAGATCCGCCTCCACATCAGCATCAAGTCCTCAAAACCATCTCGGATGCCCCTTAAGTATTCCCAACCTCTCAAAACCATCTCAGATGTGCCTGAAACAGCGCCAAAACCTTCACTTCAGCTCAGACCTCCTGAAACCAGTCCAGCATCCCCCACAGCCAGCTCAGACCTCTGAAAACCAACTCACATCCCCCCAGACCAGCTCAGAACCCTGAGAAGCTGCCCAGATCCCACCCCAAGCTCCTCAAAACCAGCTCGGATCCCCCAGACCAGCTCAAACCCATAACCCCCAGCACCACCCCCCGGAGACCCTCTCACCCTGTGGCCACCCTGGGCTCACCCCATGGAGCCACAGGTGCTGCCAGGGCTGCTGCCCACCCTGTGCCCCCGCAGGACGAGCGCAACCAGGTGCTCACCTCCTACCTGTGGGTCCGCCAGGCCTGGCTGGACGCCCACCTGGCCTGGGATAAGGACGCCTACGGTGGCATCGACAGCATCCGCATCCCCAGCAGCTACGTCTGGAGGCCCGACATTGTCCTCTACAACAAGTGGGTCATGCTCACCCCAACCAGGGGGATGTAGGGGGGCAGTGCAGGGTGGGGTGAAACCAGCAGTCCTGGTGCAAGGAGGGTGGGGAGCTGTCACTGTGCAGGGGGAACACCATGGGGACAACACAAGGGACGTGGTTGGGTCATCATGGGGTGTTGTAGGGGGATGTAGCATGGGGATGAGGAGGGGACGTGGCACAGTGATGTAGCATGGGGATGCAGTGGGCATGCGGCATGGGGACATGGTGGGGGACGTGGCATGGAGACATGGCATGGAGACATGGTGGGGAAATGGCATGGGGACAGGTTGGGGACGTGACGTGGAGACGTGGCATAGGAGCATGGGGACACGGCAGGGAGATGTGATATGGGGACGTGGTGGGAACATGGCATGGGGACATGGTGGGGATGTGACATGGGGACATGGCACAGGAACATGGTGGGGACGTGGCACGGAGGTGTGACATGGGGATATGGCACGGAGGCGCACACTGGTGCCAGCCCGCAGCCCCTTGCCCCAGCGGGGTTGAGGTCACGGTGGCCACCCCCTTCCATCCCCCCTGGCCGTCCCTGCCCAGCGCCAACGAGCGTTTCGGTGGCTCCATGGAGACCAACGTGGTGCTGCGCTCTGACGGACGCATCATGTGGGACGCTCCCGCCATCACTAAGAGCTCCTGCAAGGTGGACGTCTCCTACTTCCCCTTCGATGGGCAGCAGTGCCACCTCACCTTTGGCTCCTGGACCTACAATGGGAACCAGATTGACCTCCACAACCGCCTGGACACGGGCGACCTGACCGACTTTGTGGAGAACGTGGAGTGGGAGGTGCTGGGCATGCCGGCCACGCGCAACGTGGTCACCTACGGCTGCTGCTCGGAGCCCTACCCCGATGTCACCTACACGCTGCTGCTCCGCCGCCGCGCCTCCTTCTACATCTTCAACCTGCTGCTGCCCTGCGTCATGATCTCCTTCCTGGCACCACTGGGGTTCTACCTACCCGCCGACTCTGGGGAGAAGGTGTCTCTGGGGGTGACGGTGCTGCTGGCTCTCACCGTGTTCCAGCTGCTGGTGGCGGAGAGCATGCCGCCCTCAGAGAGCGTGCCGCTCATCGGTGAGCCCAGGGGAGGGCACGGGGCGCCCGGCGGTGAGACCCCACCCCTCATCGCCCCTCTTGCCCCATAGGGAAGTACTACATCGCCACCATGACCATGATCACCGCCTCCACCGCTCTGACCATCTTCATCATGAACATCCACCACTGTGGGCCGGGCGCCCGCCCGGTGCCCCCCTGGGCACGCCGCCTCATCCTGCACCACCTGGCGCGCGCCCTCTGCGTCTGCGAGGTGGGCGAGAGCTGCGGCCGCCCCCAGAGAGAGGGGACGGGGGGGACGGGGCCGAGGGATCCCCCCGGAGAGGGCGCGGAGCCGGGGCTGTGCCCCCACAGCCGCTGCCTCTGCCACCACCACGCGGTGCTCAGCAGTGTGGGGTACATCGCCGGTGTCTTCCGACGGCACCGCACCTCCCAGCGCCACGCCGCCGAGTGGAAGAAGCTGGCCAAGGTGATGGACCGCTTCTTCATGTGGGTCTTCTTCCTCATGGTCTTCCTCATGAGCGTGCTGGTGATCGGCAATGCTGCCTGACGCCCACCCCACGCCCGGTGCCCCCAGCCAGCCCATCCCCACGGTGCCCATGGAGCTCATGCCCAGGACAGCACTGCAGGCTGAGGCGCACAGCGCCCAGTGCCCTGACTGGAGGAGCTGCACTCAGTGGGAATAAAGCTGGCAGTGCATCCCCTGCATCCCACCTCCTGCCCAGGCAGTACAGAGCCTTTACCTGGGGCTGTGCTTGTGTCCATGCATGGGTGTGTGTACGGATATCTGAGGGCAGAAGGCTGCAGGAACCCTTTGGGGGGTGTAGGGATAGAACAAGGAGGAGTGACCTGAAGCAAAAACAGGGGAGACAGGGTCGAAACAAGATTAGAGGAAATCCTTTAATGGACTGAGCCGGAAGGAGCGCGGTGGGGCTGTGGCGGTGCCGGGCCCCACACTCGGGCTCAGAGGGTCTTCCTCCCCACGTAGGACCAGCGCTGCCAAAAGGGCTGTGCACGGCAGTGCCTCCAGCACTCCTGCACCCACCGCCACAGCCTGGAGCAGCAATGCTGCAGGCACTGCCCGACCCCGCACAGCCCCGGGGGCACCCGCAGATGGGCCGTGCCCGTGGGACCCCGGCGGGACCCTGTTGTGTTGGTCCTGCCTGGATCCGTGGGGATGTTTCTGCAGGAATCCATAGGGCTGATCCTGCCTGGTTCCATCAGGACGCTCTGGCCCAGCTCCTTTGGGGCGCTCCTATGAGCTTCAGTGTGTATGTGCCCATCTATGTCCATGCTCATGTCCTCCATGTTCTTATCCAAGCCCATGGGTTGGCCACAACCCCAGCGGAGCCCTTGCCCATGGCCCTGACCCCAAGCCCTGCAGAGGTGGCGGAACAGGTCTGGCCAAGCAGCACTCATGTATGTCCATGCTGATGCTCCCACCTGGTTGCTGCTACATGCCAGTACCAAGGACATCCATCTGTACACGCAGATGGACCCTGGAGGGCTCCTCTGCTGGGGGCTCCATGGGGTTCTCAGTTGCCCCCCATCACTCCAGCAGTGCCCGCAGCAGTTGGCAGCGGCGCTCAACGCCTGCCTGGTTCTCCTGGATGACGCGGATCAGCTCCAGGATGAGCTCCGTGTGGGAGCAGTGGGGCAGTGAAGGCTCCGTGGGTTCTGCGCTCCATCCCTGGGGGAGCTCTGCTTGCTTGGCCCCAGGGAGTGAAGGGGCTGGGGGCTGCTGTCAGGAGAGCTGGGGGCTCGGGGCTGGGGCACAGGGCTGCCTCTGCCTCTGGTTGTGGTCAGAGGTACAAGGGCGACCAACACTCCCGCAGTGCTGGGAGAGGGCTTCGGAAAGGAGTAGAGGGAAAGGAGGAGGAAGAAGCAACTGGAGAGCCTACAGAGC